ATAGAACAATAGAATAAAAATAAAAATAATAATATGAAAAATAAAGAACATAAGAGATTAAAGACTAAAGAAAAAGAGACATGATGTACTTGAAAAAGAAGATGGGAAAAAGGCGTGATACCGTTATGAGAGATTTGAAAAGACTTAAACTGAAATCTTAAATGTGAGGAAGAAAGAATCATTCGTAATCGTAAGGTTAAGGCATAATAGGTTTGGGTTTGGGTTAAATGTGGGTTAGTTGAAGTTTGGGTTGTAACATAATGCGATTTGGTTTGGTTTAGTTCGGTTTGTAAAATACAAACCGCAAACCGAACCGAACTGTGCGGTTTTGTTAAAAATGGCCCAAACACATCAAAACCAAAGGCGATTTTTTGCGATTTCAGTTTAGTTTAGTTCGATTTTGTGGTTTTATATTGGGCTTGTTTGGTTTTAAACACCCTTATTTGAAAGACTCCTAATTTACCTTCTAATATTGTTATTCCATTTAGTTTTGGTACATCTTGGGAAAAAAATTAAAAGCAGGTTTAGGTCGATCCAAAATGCAGGTTTCATCTCAAATAGGTTTAGATCGGACCAAATTTTAAAAAAAAAAAGCTGATGCTAATGTATATGAGCGAGATATATAGTGTTGATTATGACCAACACTATTGAATATGAGCATGATAGATAGCGTCGCAAAAGGTTGACTATATAAGCGAAAACAACACATTAGTGTCACCCAAAAATGACACTATGTAAATGAATACAAAACTATAGTGTCGCTATGGACCGATGCTACATGATCATATATATTCACTAGTGACGCATTTGGCTGACGCTAATTAATTACGCACAACACTATAGTGGCAATTAAGGCTGACGCTAACACTAAACATGTTTGTGTTATAACGTTAGCTTTTGTCTATTAGCATTTCTTTAGCAATTTCGTTGATCTGATGCTAATGTTTGTGCAGTCTGATTGCTATGATTTTCTTCCAGGTTTGCAATGTCCGCCCCGACACCGACTCTCAGCCGGCGCTACCACCCTTTAGCGTAAGTTTTTGGCCTTTTAGTGATGGATTTTGGCTGATGCTAAAACACCGTTTTCTTGAAGGAGGAGAAGCTTCAATACCATATCTTCTCCCATTGTTAACTATGAGCTCGTCGTATCTCTGACAACGTTGTATCTCCGACGACATCGCGAGAAGTATATGCGACGTTGGGCTGGAAGATGGACCATGAACCTTCGACATGATCTTCGTCGAATTTTCCTTCATCCTCTAGTGGTCTTGGTCTTGGTCTAGACCTAGATCTGGATCTAAGATCCCTTCTTCTATTTCCTTGCGTAGTTCTCGATTGAATTGGAGATTTGGAAATTCGGTATATCGTAGTTGAAATGATGATTTATTGGATCGACTATGATAAATCTCTATGTTTGCTTATGAACAATCTTGATTCAGCGATATGAGGAGATTACAAACTGGTTAATCTGAGATTGGATCTGAAATTATGGAAATCGTAGCATCAAAAGTTGATTCCTATAGACTGTGCCACTATTTTGTTCAAGAACCATAAATGAATGCGATTGGAGAACTCATGATCTTGAAACTGTGATGTTGATCTCCATCATAGCGATCATGGGTTAACTTTCATGGTTAGAACTACTCAGTTCAAGATTCAAGATGAGTGTATTCAAAAGTGGAGATAAGAGAATGAACATTGCATTTCATGTGAACTAATATTACCTTGGGTCAAGTTGAATGGACTTTAGATGAATTGTGCCTCAATTATTTGGACCTTTATCCGGTGCAGAATAGAAACTAATAGTAAAACCAAAATCCAAATACTACTCATCATTATCACTAAATTAAAATTGCTTCAATCTATACGAGAGATATTCCAACTAGTTGTCAAAAGAATCAAACTTGGTAGTCATATAGTTTTGCATGACTATATACTGATCCATAACCATTTATTTTGTGATGATTTGAGGTTCATGGGATGGTTCACAAGGTTCAGAGAAGCCACTAGAGGTTAAATGAGTAGTAAGAGGTATCAAATCACTTCTATGAATGAAGGTCCCTTTTTGTTCATTCCAGTGTACAACCATTTTTCTAGAATATCATTTGTTGCACTCTAAATTTCGCCCCTAAATTTTTTAGTCGTATTATCATATCATATTTTGTTATTTGGTCACAATCTTTAACAAACATCTTCATTCATCACATTTTACATCATTAGTCGTATTTAAGTTTCCCAAAAGTCAGTTTAAATCGACATTTGTATCATTTTATAGTTGAAAAATACTCGATATTTCACTTCATGTATTTTTTATATCTTTACTCGATTCTTGCATCGCATTAAGTTGTTTATATATTGATAATATTGATATTTCGATTTTACAGACTGATCATTAAAAGTGATTCGACATTGTGTGAAAAATTAGCGATAAAATATTTCAAGTTTTCACCTCTTACTGGCTGTTTTATAAATCCGTGTTTCGCGTAGATCATGACAACATGTTCGCTTTATTTTTTTCGGTAGAGTTTACAATTCCGTTCTTAATTGTCAGCGTTTGTTTAGTCAGGTATATTTATTCTCATTTTATTTCGATTTTGACCATTTGAAGTCTTTTTTATTAATCTTTGTGATCAGTAATTTATTTTAACGTGTTCATTTCTTTTTACGATTAATTAAATATCTATTTTTTTTAATCGTTTTTGATTATTTTTTATCTACTCTTTTTATTTAGAAAAAATTAAAATAAAAATTATTTTGAATTTATTTATTTTTATTCTTTTAATTTTTGTTATTTTATTTTTATGAAAAGAGCGTTTTTGGTATTTATAAAAAATAGAAGCCCTAAAGTGTTTATTTAAGTGACGAATAGAGATGAGAAATGGATGGTGAGTATCATTTGGTGTGAAGAGGAGATTTTGAAGAGAATACAGAAACAAAAAACGTGAGAAAGAATTCCTTCCCTCACAGACCATCACCACGTTATCCCTTCCAGCTCTCCTCCTCTCTTCCGCGGATACTCCCTCGTCAGTCTCCCTTCCGCTCTCCACTCCGCTACTTCATCCGTTCAAATCTCCATCAACAGCAACAACGCTTCTATCACCATTTACAAGTAGTAAGCTTCAATAATATCTATACCATTTGCATTTTATTTAATTTATTGACAGTGTTTGTTTTGTGTTAAAAGATAATTGGTGAAATTGTAGATATTATAGTGTTTGTTTGTGTTACATATGTGAGACTTTAGTGATAAATTGTAGTGATAAATTTTGATGTTAATATCATGCTCTTTGTGTTGAATATGAATGCACCGAGTTAACACAAATACTTGTTTCTAACTCATTTGGACCTGACTTCTCATTTCACACGAGACCTTTGAGCTATTTCTCTACTATCCTGACTTTGTCTATTTGTGTGGATTTTTATCAGATGCATGGATTCTTATCCAATGCTTTGAGTTTTATCCAATGTTTTGAGTTTTATCTGACGCCTTAGGTTTCTCTGATATTGTCGGTTTTTGATTTATTTTCACACGATGCCTGGTATACTCTTGACTTATTTTTTTGCATGCAACTTTAATCCAAAGGATGTAAATTCTTTTTGACTTTATTATGTCAAACATTGGCTTCCTTTTGGTTAGACATTCCTTACCTTAGTTTTTACTTTCTTTTACGTAAGATATTCTCTTCATCTCCTTTCCCAATTTTTAATTCTCAAAATCTTCTCATCTTTTTCAAAACCTTCTTTGTCTTTTAAACTCGAACCACTTTCATAATAAACCTCGACTATGTCGAGTGACTTTTCAAATTTCTTTTCTTCTTCAAACTTCTCAAAACACTTAATAAATAATTATGAGAATCACAATTCCATGAGCCTTAAGAAGTGGAGAAGGATGAGTGAGTCCATTCTCGAAGCTTGTCATTCATTCCATTCATAGTCTTTTGTGTGGTTCAAATCACAAATCTTTTTTCAAAGACTAAAAAACATTCAAATCTCATTCAAACTTTTTAGTGCGCTCGAGCACCTTTTTCCTTTAAAACATTTTTCAAGATTAGACCTGATTCATTTATAGTCGAGATATCATCCTCATATTCCCATGGTTATAAAGGTGTCGAATTTTCTACTTGAGTGTCAGAGGCGTTTCCAAACTCTCCTCATGTTGACGCACGATCCATCTTTCTCACACCTTGTGAGCGATTAGTTGAGATTTCTCTCCTAAAAATGTAGACTTGTCTCTTCATTTAAAAAATAACTAACATACAGTTTTATTCTTTTCTAGAATAACTACAAGTGCTTTGATCCCTTATTACACGAATGAGGTACGTAGGCACAAAGATTCGCAATCGCGGCGGGCGCAAGGATAAAAAAACACTTCTTTTGTTTGTAAATACTTTTTCATTCATTTACCTTTAGCAAGTTTAAGCCTTAGATAACACACTCTCTGATTAAAATAAATAAACTGGATCATGCGGAGTACCGTAGATGCTTAAGATGCTAATATCTTCTTTTTGCATAACCGACCCCCGTACCTTGATCTCTATTTTATTTCATCTTGGATTTTATTCGCTCTTTTTCCATTTCCTTTTAGAAACAATAAAGTGCGGTGACAATTTTATTGTGTGAGTTAAGTCAATTAATGGCTTAGTCTCAAATTTTACCGCTACATTTCGCTATAAAACGACAACTTGGCGACTTCAGTAGGGACTCTTTCCTAAGTGGGTTAATCCTACCTTTGTTTGTTTTCTCTTTATTTGTGTGTTTACCTATTTGCTTTACTTGTTGTTTATTTATTGTATTTTATTGCTTTCCACTATTTTGTATATATTGTTGTGCTGGATTTGCTGATTTTTCAAGTTGGGTGGGTGTTACTTTGAAGTAAAAGGCCCAATACCCATGCCAAAGAGTTCATATAGGAACACATAGGAATATAGTGGAGAGTCATGACGGCTAATAGGCGTATGCCCTAATAAGTCTAATCATGAGAGCCACAATCAGATGACGTTCTAAGGGGGTACTATTGTTATCACGTATGTTCTTACGATGATAATACTTTCATGAGGACTCACGACTCTGATTTGACTTTTTACCTTACCCTGACCTAGAGTTCTCCCGTCAGTGGGGAGAGAATTATTCTTACAGGTACAAGATGTTGATCCTCTTGATACTTGGTTCCTTTGTGTTCTGGTTTGGTGCCAAACCTTTGAACCCGTGATCCTCTTGCAGTGTTTCGCATTATATGACATTGCATATCATTTTCATCCTCTGCATCATTTTGCATATATCCAGGTTGCTCAGGATCTCATTTTCAGTTGTCTCTTTCTCCATAATTATCTGTTAATTGTCAAGTTGTTTCCTTAACACAAGTACGAGACATGAGCTAACATCAGAAGAAGAATGGTATACCAGAGCTCAGGGTTTGATTAGGGAATTCTATCCTTCAGAGATACATGTCCTATTGTCAACAAGAATCCTTTGTCAGGGCATGACAAGTGAAGCTTCAGTCAGATCCAGACTTATTTCCTAAAGCCATTGTTTTAGACAGGATAGCTCATCCTTGTTACTGATTAGTCACTAGACTATGTTTCCTTATGTTTGCATTTTCCTTTAATTGTATTGATTGTGGCTTTCAAACTTTGTTTGTACTTTCATATTAATTTTAATGAAATGAGCATTGCATTATTTTGATTCAATTCATTTTCATTCACTACTTTCAAATATATATCTCATGTTTACTTTCTTTATCAAACTTTTGTTTATGCAAAGATTGGAGGCAGGATGATGAAAACAAAATACCTATAACTGTTGTTGGTATAATTTCGAATAAAACTTTATTGATGATGTACATGCATTGTTTCAACTCCTAAATACTGAAGAATTAAGGAAATTAATCCCTTGTCAACCCCTTTTAAACCTACAAGTTGTAGTTTCTTTCTATATGGAAAAACTCGCAATTTTAACTTGGGAATGAGTAGTTTTCAGTTAATTTGGTTGTGCGTTCAAATACAAGAGAAATCATGCAAGACGTCTCTCAATGAAGGTTGCAATCAAGCTTTCCTTCACACACATCAAAGAAGTGTCGAAGATGTCCTTTAAATCAAAAGTGAAGATGATGGTTCCCCATAATCATTAAACCAAACAATCTCTATCTTCCTAAAAAAATAAATGAAAAAATCAAAGGAAAATCCCTCTAAGTCAGAACCTATGAAAGAGACTTAGGAAAAAAATTGGGCATCTCGCTGACTGTAACCTCAAATGAAACAGTTCAGGCAAAAGTTAGGGATAACAAAAATAAAAAAGAGGTCTTCAAATCCTCAAAATTCTCCACCAGAGTTGACAAAAATCCTCAACAAAAAACAACGAAACATTGTAAAAGAGAAATGACTGCCATCTCAAGAATCTCTTGGTTTATGAGCCATCATCATTACTATTCTCAGTATAATTCCAAGATCTCTTGGAACCTGAATGCATAGCCTGAGTTAACTGAGCGTAACACTGAAGAACATCACGGAGAATGAGTTGGATACAAATAAACTTTGAGCCTTTATCCTTTGTTTCATACACCGTGAGCCGAACCATATTACAATCCTCAAAAGACCTAATTGAAGCTAGGTTACTTTTGAAAGCATACTACAACGAGGTGCGTAAATAGACTCCTAAGATCTTGTACAAATCATTTGTCTTGGTATCATACCTTTGCTTTCTTTTTCACTTTAAATTTTTAAACTGTCGTGTTTTGACCAGTGATTCATTTTCTATACATCAATAACATCATTCCAAAAATGATTTTGATTTCAAAACTTTTGCATGAACTTTGCATTAAAATTATCATATTTGAATGAACAATTTTGCTTGCAAACAAGCTTTCCTCATCAAAGAAGTTCAAACAGTTGAGAAACTTGGTCAATGATCCTATCAGGGGCAAGTATCTTCCAGATTTTGTTGTGAATTAGTTCAAGATTTGTTGCTCAGTGCAAGTTATTCTCAGAAATGGTTAAACAAAATATTTTTTTCAAGACTCATACTGGGGCAACCCTTTCCCTCAATCATTTCAAGAACTAAAGTCCTGATCAATTTATTCCTAGCAATAGTAGACTGAAGCCATGATCAGTTTATCCTTAGCAGTCAGCTAATATGGGGAAATCCCCATGTAGCTCTTCGGACATTTCTCCAAGGATCATCAACTTGATGCAACTCAATAGTCTGACAGAAGTGTTCCTTCAAACTTTTTCTTCCCAAGCAGAATTAGCAGAGCTGTTTGTGTTCAAGAATTAGTGTTCTAATCTTCCCTCACAAAAGAGTCAAGCTCATTTTTCATAAACGTTTGCATTACATGTATAGATCATGCATAGCAAAATTAATATATCATGCATAACTTGAATAATGTTTCATGCTCATTTGCATCTCCCTAAGTCTTTTTGCTATCAACATCTTACCTTTTGGTCAGAGTACAACTTACTCGGAACCTACCAAAATAAATATTATCACCCTTGTGTTTCATTTGTCTGTGCTTATCTGATGTTCTTCTATATATGTCTTTCGTTCTGATGTTTTCCCAGAACCTTACTTTTCTATCTAATGTCTTTCTGGATATGTCTTTCATTATGATGTTTTCCCATAACCTTACTTTTCCATCCGATGTCTTTTCGGATATGTCTTTCATTTTGATGTTTTCCCATAACCTTACCTTTTCTACCCGAGGTTCTTCCATCATGTCTTTTGTTCTGACGCTCTCCCAGAACCTTTACCTTTTCTACCCGATGTTCTTCCGGATATATTTTTCGTTCTAATATTCTCCCAGAATATTACCTTTCTTATCTGATGTTCTTTCGGATATGTCTTTCATTCTGACGTTCTCCTAAAACCTTACCTTTTCTACCCGGTGTTCTTTCATATATGTCAGTCATTCTAACGTTTTTCCAGAGCCCTTATGTGTTTATATGATGTTTTCCCAGAACCTGTCTCTGTACATTCAACATTTTCCTGGATGTTTCAGACGTATCTTTGAGCTTGGATAACTTTCCTTTCATTCAATGTTTTTCTGAATATTCATAGGTTTGTTTTCCTTTCCATCCAACGTTTTTCTGGATGGCTACTCAGATTTTTCCAAATTTAGTTTCCACTTCATCCAATGTTTTTCTAGATGTCCCTGTCGTATTTTCGGGGTTTGTGTCTCCTCTTGCATTTAATGCTTTCCTGAATGTCTCTTTGGTTTCCTTCCATCTAATGCTTTTCTAGATGTCTCTGACGTTTCCTTAGAGTTTGATTCCTTTCCATCTAATACTTTTCTGGATGTGATTTCCAAAGTTCATTCAATGCTCTTCTGAATGTCTTTCATGATGTGTTCCAGAGTTTCATTCAATGTTCTTCTGAATGTCTCTGATAGTTATTTCTCGCCCATCCAATGCTTTTTTGAATGTGCCTGATTATTTTTCTAAAGTTCATTCAATGCTTTTTTTAATGTCTTTGATGTCTTTCCTTGTTTTATCCCCAGCAAAGTTCGATATTTTCCTGTTTGCCCTAAAGTGTTTTATCCATGTAAATAATGCATGTTTCATTTGATTTTATTCTTAATTTCTCTTCTGATTACTAACTTGGTTTTATTATTGCGAAGACTTTCAAGATAGCTCAAGTGCTCACTTCATCGTAGCATCACTTTGTTGTTTTTAGTTAATTAACTAAAAGTTGATTTAGTTAGTTAGTTTTGTTATTAGAAATTAATTAGTTTTGCTAATTAATTTTTCTTAATTTAATTAATTAATTTAATCAACTTTTAATTAATTAATTAAGCATCCATTTCATATTTCATTTGTTTCGTTTAGCTCTAGTATTTGCTTCTAACTCATTTGGACATGACTTCTTATTTCACATGAGACCTTTGAGTTATTTCTCTACTATCCTGGTTTTGTCTATTTGTGTGGAGTTTTATTTGATGCAGGGATTCTTATCTGATTCTTTGAGCTTTATCTGATGCTTTGAGCTTTATCTGATACTGTCTGCTTGTAATTTATTTTCACAAGATGTCTGGTATACTCTTAGCTTATTTCTTTGCATGCAGATTTAATTCAAAGAATGAGAATTCTTATTGACTTTCTTTTGGTCAGACATTCCTTACCTTAACTTTTACTTTCTTGCACGTAGGATATTCTCTTCATCTCCTTTCCCATTCTTCAATTTTCAAAATATTCTCATCTTTTTCAAAATCTTCTTTATCTTTTAAACTCAAACCGCTTTCATAATAAACCTCGACTATGTCGAATGACTTTTCAAAATTATTTTCTTCTTTAAACTTCTCAAAATACTTAATAAATAATTATGAGAGTCACAATTACACGAGCCTTAAGAAATGGAGAAGGATGAGTGAGTCTATTCCTGAAGCTTGTCCTTCATTCCATTCATAGTCTTTTGTGTGATTTAAATCACAAATCCTTTTTTAAAGACTAAAATCAAATCTCATTCAAACCTTTTTGTGCGCTCGAGCACCTTTTCCCTTTAAAACATTTTCTAAGATTAGACATGATTCATTTATAATCGAGATATCATCCTCCCATCCCCATAATTATAAAGGTGTCGACTTTTTCACTTGAGTGTCAGAGGCGATTCCAATCCCTCCTCATGTTGACGCACAATCCATCTTTCTCACACCTTGTGGCGATTAGTTGAGGTTTCTCTCCTGAAAATGATGACTTGTCTCTTCATTTAAAAAACAACCAACACATATTTTTTATTTTTTTAAGAAGAACTACGAGTGCCCTGATCCCTTATTGCACGAATGGGGTACGTAGGCACAAAGGTTCGCAATTGCGGCGGGCGCAATAATAAAAACATTTCGTTTGCTTGTAAATATTCTTTCATTCATTTACCTTTAGCAAGTTTAAGCCTTAGATAACACACTCTGATTAAAACAAACAAAGTGGATCCTGCATAGTATCGTAGATGTTTAGGGTGCTAATATCTTCCCTTTGCATAACCGACTCCCATATCTTGATCTCTATTTTATTTCATCTTAGATTTTATTCGCTCTTTTCCTATTTTCTTTTGGAAACAATAACGTACGGTGATGACTTCATTATGTGAGTTAAGTCATTTAATAACTTAATCTTAAATTTTAACACTAAATTTCGCTACAGAGAGACATCATTGTCAATTAAGTTCTCAACTTCATTCATTTCTCTACCCTTGTTTCATTTTTCAGGTAAACATGGCAAAATGCAAGAAGCCTACATATTTCTTTAGCATATGGTAA